TCATGATCAGGGCCAGCAGGGCCAGCATGAGCCATGGATTATTTCATTGAATTATTTTTTTTATTAGAAAATAAGAAAAATTATTTTTTCTAATAAAAAATAATTCCACATTAGCAATTCATCACTCATTTTTCTGGATGTTTTTGGAGAGATAGAAATAATTCATGCGTCTGATTAGTGTATGAAGTGTGGGGAAGGCAGGCAGAGTGGGCCTTTGGAAATAAGCTTAAACACCTGGCCTGTTCACAATTGAAATCCGAAAGCTTACATAACATGAGAAGTATCTGTATCTCATATGAAGTAGAATGTTTCATTTTTATGTTCTTACAATTTAAAGAACTCTCATATTTATAATAAAATTTAAAGTTTTTATTTTTAAAAAATAATTTAAAAAACATTTTATTTATTTATTCTTGAGAGACACAGAGAGGCAGAGACTAGGCAGAGGGAGAAGCAGGCTCCCTATGGGGAACCTGATGTGGAACTCAATCCCAGGACCTCAGGATCACACCCTGAGCTGAAGGCAGATGCTCAACCACTGAGCCACCCAGGTGTCCCAAAATTTAAAATATTTAAGAATTCCATGAATCTTATTTTCCGATTAGGTTTTAATATATATTAATGTAAGTCAAGTATCAAGTGCCTCTAATCCTCACTGTGACATTAAGTGGTAAGTTTCTTCACTCTTACTTTATAGAGGGAACATGTTGTCCCAAAAAGGTAAAGTAACTTGCCCAAAGTTGGATGGCTGGGAAGCAACTGCCTCGGGATTCAAGTATAGGGGTCAAGTCCAAAGCCTTTGGATTTTCCACTTCAATCTTTATTTTTCAATCCATATTTTTGACCAAAATATTAAAAAATACATAGGATACGATGGCTACTGAACAATTTCAAGTTATAAACATTTGGTGGTTTGGCAAATGCCTCTATTATTTTAATAGCAAATTATTTGGTGGCATAATGGGCAATTTCCTTTTCAATGAATCTTTATGAATTCTGTTAATTCAAATACACATGACATTTAAAAAAATTCATTCAACAGGTATTTGCTATCTTGCATGTGATAAAAACTTTATCAGGGGATCCCTGGGTGGCGCAGCGGTTTGGCGCCTGCCCTTGGCCAGGGCGCAATCTTGGAGACCCGGGATTGAATCCCACGTCGGGCTCCCGGTGCATGGAGCCTGCTTCTCCCTCTGCCTGTGTCTCTGCCTCTCTCTCTCTCTAACTATCATAAACAAATAAAAAAAAATTAAAAAAAAACTTTATCAGGTATTGAATACTAAGACTCCCTTCTTTTAAGGAGCCTTAATTTGGTATAGAAATAGGATTAAAAAAACCTTACAGCAGTGATTTTGGTGATTAGCTTATATGTGCATTTTAGGGAGGAATTCAGAGAAGGAGAAGATAAAGCTGAAGTTTTAAGCAGGCAAGACCTAGATATACATTAATAGTTTCAGTGCTAGAATCATTGTACCTAAAACACTTGTTAATTGAATATAGTTAACACTAAATGTGTATCTTACAATGACTTTTTTTTCATTTAGTCCTTCTAACAGCTTTGTGAGGCACGGATTCTTCATTATTTTCATCCTCCAGATAAAGAGACTGAAGCACACAGTTTAGGCAACGTGTTTAACCTCTTCCATGTACAGCCAGTTCTGGAAGAATGAGATTTGAACCCAGGCAGCATCGGGCCACTGGGTTGTGCTGCCTTCTGGGGGAGAAGGGTGATATTCTGGGTGGGGGAGCACATCGTGTGGCTGGACTGAGCACCGCAGGACAGAGGATGGGGATGACTGGAGGAGCAGCCAGACCAGGCAGCAGGCATTGCTCGTTGAAAACCGTGTGGGAAAGTGCTGTCCATGGACTGGGCTCCCAGGATAGAAGAGCGATGGGACCCAAAACATTTAAGACTTTATGCTTTAAAAGCAGTGTACTTTGCTTAAAAAAAAAAAAAAAAGAGGTCTATATATTTAAGAAAACTCAAGTGTTACCACATGTTCATGTTCCCAAAATCTATATGCTGAAACCCTAATCCCAATAGGATGTTACTAGAAGGTGAGGTCTTTGGGAAGTAATTTGGTTTATTTTTTTTTAAATTTTTATTTATTTATGATAGTCACAGAGAGAGAGAAGAGAGAGAGAGAGAGAGAGAGAGAGACGCGCAGAGACATAGGCAGAGGGAGAAGCAGGCTCCATGCACCGGGAGCCCGATGTGGGATTCGATCCTGGGTCTCCAGGATCGCGCCCTGGGCCAAAGGCAGGCGCCAAACCGCTGCGCCACCTAGGGATCCCCAAGTAATTTGGTTTAGATGAAGTCATGAGGGTAGGGGCCCCATGATGGGATTAGAGTCATTGTAAGAAGAGGTAGCAGAAAGCTTTTTCTCTCTCCTCACCTCCACCTCCAACATGTGAGGAAACCAGAAGAATGTCCTTACCAAAACCCAATCATGCTGGCACCCTGATCTTGGACTTCTCAACCTTTAGTACTGTGAGACATAAATGTCTGTTTAAGGCACCTAGTTTATGGTATTTTGTTACAGCAGTCCAAATGGACTAAGAGGGGAAATGTCTTTTTCCCAGTGTCTGATGTCAAACATTCCCTGCAAACACTGGAAAAACTAGATGTAATACAAAATATATTCAAAAGTGCCATCTCCTCCCAACAAAGAGCTGCATGCCTGGGGATCTTGAGTACGCTCTGGGGGTGTCTCCTTACAGTCCCAGAGCCCCTCTGCCGTTGGCCTCAAGCAGGTGTGTGATGGAAGGAGAGGGAAGGGTGCAGTAGGGTTTTGACCCATTCACCACATCAATTGTCAAAATGTGGGTCAAAGGTGCTAACACACTCACTCTCAAGCACTCCTCAACTTTGGTCTCAACAACACAAAATCTGGTTGTCAAAAGATTTCTGGAAGAGGCTTTTCTTCTTTTCCTAAATTCCTTACGTATGGTGACTCTTTCGTTACACTGGAGCAATGGGAAGATTATGGGTTTTGGCATTCCTGGGCTTGGTATCGCCATATTTACCTCCGAGTTCCCTCAATTATAAAGGGGATGTGATGAGAATCCTCTTGCACAAATATTGTGATAAACAGGAGTAAACCAGCTAGTGGTGCCTGATACATGGTCGCTAACTCAAAAATAGTGGCTTTTCTCTTTACCCAAAGAAATACATCATTTAAGTAACTCAGAAGAAGAGATAAATGCTTGGATTTAAGTACTGAAGTCATGCACCCAGAAACCTGTCCAGAAGCAAGCACATATGTTGGCTTGGGCAGATTATTAGAACAGAACAGAGTTCATGGCAGGACCAAAAGTTCCTATGGATTCACTTTGGTCCTTTGGGGAGCCTAGAATCAACTCAGACTACAAGGACTCTCAAGAACCCTGTTCCATTTCCTCAGACTTTTGCTGCCTCTGAAAGCACGTCATCCCATCTCTGCTTTTGACATTCCTTTGGGAATAATCCCTGAAACAATCAGAGGTAAAGCTCTTATGTACTTTCTTGTCCCCTGTATTAACCTGTTTAAGACAAAAGTACATTAATAATGTGCCATCCTCTCAAAAGTTTGCTTCTAGCAAGCAAATTTGTGAGCTCACACACGGGGATTCTTTTGCATTTGAGGCATTTAGCATGGGTCCCCCCCCCCTCCCGAAATGCAGTAAACTGCAAGTATAAGAAAAAGTAGTAGCATTTGACAAAAAAAAAAAAAAAATTGTTCCAAGGACCAGTTTCCCTCTTAAACTGGGGGGAATAAACTCCCCCTCAAAACAAACAAAAAAATACACATCTCTAACAAATGGTAGTGGTGATCACATTAATTATGACAGGAAGGCAGCAAGAGAAAGAAGAAAACAAAACTCAAGTTCCAGCTCTAATGCTTATGAACTCTTTCATCTCACAAAATGGGGTCACAGCTCTTTTCCTTACCTACTTTCACAGGGTTTTGTGAAGATTAAAGAATGTATGTCAAGCATAAAAGAACTGTAAAGTGCTATGCCTCATTACAGGTGCCACATAGGAATTAAATATGCATTATGCAGACACATAGTAGTCCATAATCCATTTCTATTCTAATTTACATTAGTGAGTGATCCAGTGATCTGGATCCAGTGATCCAGTGATTCTGCTTCTGATATTCTCATCTATTAGAAGAAAAGGAAACATTAGACATCAAGGTCTACAGAGGATTGCATCAGTTTCTTGTGTACTGCATTCTAGATGAGGGCAGTTTTCAAGTCTGTGGACAATGAAACCGATAGGCCAATGTTTCATGCAGGAGAATGGGATCATCAGTGAAATGAGCTTTCCATCCAAGGTTTGGGTGCAGGTAGCAGAAAGACTATTCTGATCTATCAAGTACCCTATCACGTCCAGATCATTCTAAAGAAAAAACCTGAACTATAACCGACAACTTAACCTTGGAACCATGTTATCTTACTTCCCATGTCCCACTGAACTGCTTTTACTAAATTTGTCCTTGGGGGTCATGGCGTCATCTTTCCTCAGGGGTCCAAAAACAACTTGCTACAATCTACGGAAGCACTGACTGTTGAAGACTAAGAGATGACATTCCCTCCCACCCTCTCAACCCTGTCAGTGAAGGGAGAAGGATGACATTTCTTGCAGAACTGAGTCAAAGAAAGGACTCTGCTCTTCTTGAAGAATTAAAGATGTTGTCTTTTGTGAGCAAAGGAAATCAGAATCACGGAGCATGTAGCTGGCTTTTTTTTTTTTTTTTTTTTTTACTTCCCCATGAATGACCTTTTACTATTCTTATTTTTCACCTTATATCCAAGTGTAGGAAAAACACAACATTCCAGTTTACTTGCAGTTCTATTAATTGAAGGTTATCAGCTTATTTCAAAAATAGTGGTTGGAGAACATAATCCTCTTGTGGTTTTAAGTACTTAAAACCAAACAAAAAATTAAAACCTTAAAGAAAACACATTTTTTTTTAAAGTCAAAAGAAACAGTAATACTAATTTTGAAAAGACTGTTGATGTCACTGTGGTTTATTGGTAAATACAAAGTATAGGCTCTTGCTTTTTTTTTTTTTCTTTGCTATTTTTTTAAAGCAAAGCCAAGGAGATTAGAAACCAAGTACATATATCTTCTTTAGAGTAGAAACATAAATTAGTTTTAAAAATTAGGCACTTAAAATGTAAATGTAAAATGGCATTTTTAGAAGTATAAACTATCATTCCACTCCTAAATTCCTCCTGAAATGTTTTTACAAACACAAAAGCAAAAGCACGGAAAACATTTCTAAACAAAGATAATTTCCTCTTTAAAAAACAACAACAAACCTGAACACAAATTCTATATGATAGACCAATGATTAAGGTACTGGGGGTAGGAGAAAAGAGCTTCTGAAATTTACATGTTTGATTAAAATATAAGCATTTAATAAAACTATTACAATAGCATACAGTAATATATCATAATGAAAAATATGTCAGGAAAATAATGAATTCTAGACTTAAAATTTTACTTTACAACAAGGCACTTAACACATTGAAACAGTACGGTAAATTTCCGAAAGAATGCAATTGGCTACCTCTCAAACCTTGTAATGCTTTTTCTTTTATGAATATACTATAACATAACCATACATTTTGCAGCATTAATCATTGCATAGGAGGTAAATTAAATAATGAATTCCAACTTGGCAACTAGATTAGCTTATGTTTACAGTTTCTTCTTTTTCTTTTAAAGGACAGTTTTAAATAATTCCATAATAAAAGAACTATTCTCATTCATGATTCATTTAGAACACAGCATAGTTAGATTAATGAGTAATAAAATAAATCAGAACTTAAAAGGTGTGTATCTGTATAAAAACTTATCTTTGGGTACCTTTGACATGATTTTCAGTGTTTAGGTATTGAAGTCAAGAGCACTTCTTAATAGAAGAAATATTTTTAGCAAGTAAGTCAAAGGAGTTAAATTATTGCAACACAAGGACATTAAAAAAATACCAGAAATATTTATACATACAAATAGAAAAGCCTTCAACACAGAGTATATTACTTATAATATGCTCCATTTAAAACTTGTAAACTCATTTATCAAGAAATTCCTTCTCACACTTCCTTGCACTACAGAAGTGAATATGTTAAGACCGGCTTAAATTTTTAAATAGTTTTACAGTGCAAAACAAAAACAACAAAGAAATAAAAAGGAAATGTTTAAAATATTGAAGAAACAAGATGTGAACTTTAAAAGAAACTGCATGAGCTCTAGCATGTAAAAAAATAAAAATAAAAAATAAGAAAGACTGCCAACCTGGTGTTTCAAAGTAAACAAAGTATAGGTAGTTATAAAGGGAGACATTAATGATTGTGATAATGAGAGGTAAAATGGTCTGCAAATTTTCTTTGATCAAATGGACAAGAGACCAGAATTGCAACTCCCTGGGATCTAAGCACATCTTCCCTTCAGGAAAGGTTTAAAATACCTTTAAAGTAATCCCTTTTGCATGATGCTTTCAAGTTACTGGCAAAAAAACCCAAAACAAAACCCCAAATAAACGTCTTTTAAAAACTTGAAAATATACTCTATAGTGTCAAGTTTGCGTTCCGAGTCACATAATGTATTTCCACGAGGGGGCACTGGTATACAGCAAAGAACCTTCTGCAAGGTCATCATTACACTAGACCAGGGGCCTGGGCTCGTCTGCCCAAAACAGCCTTCCTTCCTCAGCAAACCTCGTTTTCCAAGATGCCAGTAAATTAAACAACAAATTTAAAATACTTTGGGTGGAACCGGGAGCAATGTTGTATTTTCAGAGCTGCAGAGGAGCTCAAAAAATAGAATCTGAGAGGAACCCATTTTCCATTTAAAAGAATTTGGAACAAATATGCCATAATTTATGGGAATCATACATTATATTGTGCAGAAGGGCTAATTACAAGAAAAGCTTCAAACGGGAGCACTGGTCTACAAACACAAGAATAATGGGTAAAATCTTGCATGGTAATTAGCAAGGAAAAGGAGCTCCAAAATTTGACCATTTCAAAGGCAAGATAGTAATGTTTAAGTTTTAAATCACGAAGTAGCATGTGAGGTAAAGCCTCAAGTTTGCTTTGCTAAATGTAAAGGAGTTTCTCTATTTCTTTTATTTTCCCATCTTGAAACTTTGGTGTTTTTCCTCCTTCTCTTCAAATCACATGCTTCCTCAGTGTCTATTAGACATCTATGACACATACATGTAAGGAACACATGAGCAATAGTGTCTCCACACATGAGGTCAGAGAGGTTTTTAAAGTTCTTTAAAAGGTGATGGTATATTTTTTTTAAAAAACCGCATCACTTGACCAAAATGCAAGGTTTACTGTTTAGAGGGTCTCCAATAATTAACATATCATGATTCTTCAATCTTAAATACTCTTCCTTATTTAAGCTGAAGAAAAGTAGGTTATCTAGGACACTCCTGAATAAGGCTCTTGGGTCTATCAGGTTATGATGCTCAAGGAATATACCAATGTCAAGAGCACAAAACCCAGGCTTCAGTGTCAGATGCTTTTTCTAATAATCAGACAGCAGGAATTAAAACTCTGTGTTTTCGAGCACAACGCCTTAAGTATCACAGATGTCAATATTTAACAAATGAGAGAATTCTGCCCAAGCACATCTGGTAAGCTATAGATATATTTCTTATTGGTTTATTTAATAACAAATACCAGAAAACTCCTCGCGTTTCAAAGCCTGCCAAAGATATTCAGGATTTCAATTCTCGTTTTAAATAAGTAGATGAAGAGTATCTTTTTTTCCTGCCTTTGAACTCAACTACCTCTCCCCTTCAGTGATTCTTCTATTACCTAGGGAAAGAGCCATACTGCATACATACACAGAATTTTAGCACCAGAAAAATGACCTTTCTGAAAAGATTTATATTTGTGCTTCTCTCAAGCAATCTGAAGGTCAATTTTGTGTACCAAATCAAGGCAAACTAGTTTATAATGACAAATTAAGGGATATTTTTCATTCTCATGTGAAGGGAAATTTTCACCTTCAAAATAAAAGTAACTGCCCGTTTCTACCACATTGGCCTGTCTGCTGATCTAGTGTGGATGATTCTGTAACCATAAATCTTTTTTAAGAGTTGCTAGAAGTCTCAAGAAATGAACCAAGTGACCACATTAATCTGATCTGATTTTTAAAAATCCATCTTCTTTTTGTATCACCTCAAAGAACTTTAGAAACAGTTGTCCTCCTTTACTGAGTAGCTGTAACTGTCTAGAGGACTGATTCCAACAGTAGATTATAGTGCAGCACCGTGGTGTAATTTCAAGATCAAAGTCAAATTACTCAATTGTGGCATATGTCCTTAGGACCAGTCTATAAGAAGCTGAGTCTTTTGCTAAAAGGCAAGGATACATTACACTTTTGGATTCCATCTTGGCTTTTCCATAAAGTACAATGTAGCTAGGAAGAAAGAGCTTTCCGTGAAATGTGACCAACTGCATTTCTGAGTTCCAATTAGCAGCTGTCAAACAGAGCTCACCCAGGGTAGGACGGGAGAGAAACACAGGCTTGTTCCCCAAGTGGCATGAGCATACTTTCACATACATACATGTTTTCGGCCTGTGCTGGAGCAGCAGACTGCTCTGGGGGCGCCAGATGCAAATTTACCAGGCAGATAGCATATAAATGTATACACAAGGACCACTTGTTTAGCAGAAATAGCTCTGTGTTTCATAGAGATTTTAAAGTGAAATATTTACACACATAAAATCTGTGAGATGTGTCAAATACTTCCATATTAGATCACCTTTCCTTTTTTTTTTTATAAAATTATCATTTTAAAAAAAAGTAAAAGTGATACATAGTGCATTGGGTGGTAGCAGCAGTGCACATTCCCAGACCTGACCCAGACTTTCCCCATCACAAGGTGGAAAACAAAGTTCATCTCAAGTTTACTTACAACCGATAGATTTCCCCCTCATTAATAAGCCTAATGCTAAGACCACGCTCACATTAGGTTATTCTATTTACACAGTAGCTGTATATATCCAGATATTTTGTTTAAAACATTAACAAATTCTTCTGACCTTGGAGGAAAAAAAATCCTGAAAAAACTCAGTAGAGGGCTTTAGTGGATAAAGAATAAGGAAAGGAATAGTATGTTCTTTGGCACCTCTTTAACAAGCTCATTAGTAAAATCCCAGTTTGGGGGCTTGTCACCAATGAAGAGCTGCAGGAGAATATACCTTTCTCAGGATGAATAAAAAAACCAGTCAAAGGGTAATACCTCGTTCATCTTTCTAATCATTTACACGAAATTTGGTCCACTTCTTCATTTTGCCAGTCAGTTCTTCTAAAATAAAACCCCAAAACTATACCTTTGGTTACAGCGTTAACTCTTTTGGTATAAGAGCTGATGCCTTTGTTTTGCTCCTCAGGTAGATTTCTCATTATCTTCACCTATCTTCTGAACCCGTGAATACTTCTTGCATGAAGATTTAAAGCAGCCAGGGGGCCAGGAGAGTGGCCAGGAGAAGCAGCAAGGAATTGAGCCTTGTACGTTTTTCTCGAAAAAATAAAAGATGGGGAACCACCACGCTCGAGACAAGAAATTAGTCTGTGAAGAGACTTTCAAGTTCTGTAAAAAGTTAAAAAAAAAAAAATAAGAAGAAAAGAAAATTAGACCAATTTTCCATGCTTTGCATCCTATTTTTTTCTTAATTAAATTGTCATTCATTGTACCATAACAGAGAAAGCAGCAGAATCAGGATCACAAGGCAGTAATTGTCTTTTTGTCTTTTCCCTGATTCTGACATGTTTCTGGTTCCAGGCCTTCCCCCCTTTCCAGCTCATGCAAATTCCCCTGCCTGCAATCCCAGTAAGAGTAGAGGCTCAGGAACGGATGTGAGAGTTAGCCAGTAGAAATAGTTCTTAGGGTGCGTCAGCAGGTGAATCTGGGCTGAGGAAGATGGAAGAGTGAGAGGAAAGCTCACAGGGTGGAGCAAATTTAAGACTAAAGGTGAAGGTTTTGGTCTGCTGGTGTCAGGAGATATCCAGATGGAAGTATTAGAAAGAAGGAAGGTGGAAATGAGAGAGTCTACAAAATGGGAAGTAGAGCTACAGAGACAAAATAACCCATAGCATGGGCATCTATCAGTGGATGTCATTAAATGAGAGGTGGTGTTTAGACCTTTCAGGATTAACATTTGCTCACAAGTTATATGCATCGGACAATATGGCAAGACTATCCAGAGATAAGTCATGCCACACAGACTTACTCTTGGACACCAAGCACATATACCTGGACTAGGAAAACACAGAGAAGAGGAGGACTCATCCCAACTTGGGATCACAAGAAGAGAGCAAGAGTTAGGAAGACTTCCTAGAAGATGTGGCATTTGAGTTAATTCTTAAATATAAATAGAAGAAAAAAAAAAGGTTATCTGGGAACAGAAGGCAGCAGTAACAAATAAGGAAGTATATAAGAAGGGAAGCAAGAGCGCACAGTATCACCAAAAGATGTACCAAATCCAGGAATTCATGGACTACTTATTTTGCCTGACGTTTAAAAATAGTTGCTGCCTTTTCCTCAGAATTAAGTTTTTGGAGGGCAGGGAGCATGTCTTACCAAGCTACACTACAATGCTTCTATAGAGAAAGTCCCTGTATTTTATTTTTTAAAATATTTTATTTATTTATTCATGAAAGACACAGGTAGAGAGAGAGGCAGAGACACAGGCAGAGGGAGATGCAGGCTCCATGCAGGGAGCCTGATGTGGGACTCGATCCTGGGTCTCCAGGATCACACCCTGGGCTGAAGGCAGCGCTAAACCGCTGAGCCACCTGGGCTGCCCAGTCCCTGTATTATAATTTAGCATTTATACTTCTTCAACTCTGGTTTCGATTAATTGAATTAGTAAAACACCATGCTCTATAATTACACAGCACTTTTATCCTTGAATGTCATTTCTATTTGTGACATTATTTGTTTGAAGAGGCAGTAATGGGTAGATGTTTCAGGGAACTGATAGACCACACACATGAGTGGCATTGGTGGTTATTCCCACTAAGCTATCAGAAATCTTACTGTATGAAACAAGGGGCACTACATTTAAAGAAAACAAATCATCCAGGGATAACTTTACTGCTCTCACCTTTTCATTGGCCATTGAGTGGTACCACCAAAACAGCCGTGTTGTAATATAATAAGCAATGATCACATCAACAGTATAGTGTTCGTGTGCTACAAGAATGCAGATGATCCCAGCAGCACTCAGCAGCCAGCAGATTAAATGATACCACCAGAAGTGACGAGGTGAATCTAGACAGTAGAAAAAGTATAGAGTTAATAAGATTTCCAGAGATGAATTTAATAATTACAGTCTACATTAATGATCTTAAGTAGAATAATCTAAGATCAGGAAGTCACTGGAAGGAGAAAACTGATTAACCTCAAAAGTCACTGTCATTAGCCGGGATTTGCTCAGGTAGGAAGGGAGAAGGAGAGGGACCACTGGTAGCAGGTCTGTCTAATAGTCATTCACTGGGGAATAGTCATTCTCTAGACATTCTAGACCTTGCCCACTGCTAAGCTTTTCAGTAAGGAAGAGAACAGAATTGTTTATTAGGTTGGTTGGAATTGGTATTGTGGCCAGCAACATTTGCTTCTCAGCACTTTTATACTGTTATTGCTGATAGCAACTATAAACACTCCCTATACAAAACTGAGGATTCTGGCCCATTCACTTGTGGATTTTAGCCTTCTAGTGAGTCCACTTCTAGAAGGTCATTATGGGATCCCTGGGTGGCGCAGCGGTTTGGCGCCTGCCTTTGGCCCGGGGCGCGATCCTGGAGACCCGGGATCGAATCCCACGTCGGGCTCCCGGTGCATGGAGCCTGCTTCTCCCTCTGCCTGTGTCTCTGCCTCTCTCTCTCTCTCTCTGTGACTATCATAAATAAATAAAAAAAAATTTTTTTTTTAGAAGGTCATTATATTGATCGGCTTTAAGAGAGAACTAGAGCACTCATCAGGTGAAACAGGATCGCGAATGCCACAGCCTGCCCACACAAGCAGTAATGACACAGGTGTGTATGCAATCTCTGGTTCATCGCTAATAATGCTTTTCTTTCTTTTTAATGGCTGGTTTTTTTTTCTATTTTAAAGCTTTATTCGTTCACAAAGTAAATAATCTCACAAATTTATTTCATATTTACCTGTGTTTATATTCATAGTGATATTTATTTCTAAGTGCAGAACAATGGTAGAACAACAAAAGGATCTATATTTCCAGAAATTTTTTTTTTTAGAGATTTTATTTATTTATTCATGAGAGACACAGAGAAAGAGAGATAGAGGCAGAGACACAGGCAGAGGGAGAAACAGGCTCCACGCAGGGAGCCCGACATGGGACTTGATCCCGGTCTACAGGATCACGCCCTGGGCTGAAGGCGGCGCTAAACCGCTGAGCCACTCGGGCTGTCCATATTTCCAGAAATTTAGATGAAATACCAAATCAGGTATCATTCAAATGAAAAATATTTTTTTTTTGGTGAAAAAGCTGTTGCTCTTTTGGTCCCAATTGAAACAGAGAGATAATAAACCTGTACTTGCACTGGAAAGTCTGACTTTTACATTCTGAATGTGTTCCTTTATTTCTTTCCAGTTGGTTTATCCTGCCACTAAGTTCTAGCAGATAACTGATAGACTTCCAGAATTTTACAGCTGGAAGAGGCCTTACCCTTTATAGCCAGGTGGCCAGATCCAAGCTCCATAACTGTTCTGTTAGGCTAAGAATATTAAAAATTGAACCAACATTTAGAAATCAGAATGTTTCACTAAATATGCATTCTACAGACCTACAGTCTGCACCCTTCCCACACCAACCAGCTTCCTTTGCTTATAAGTTACCCGATATTTATTACCTTAGAAGTTAAAACTGTTTAACTCCTGATTGTGGGCAAACCCAAACCATTTTGTATTCGTTTATCCACAAGAAGCAAAGCTGAAGTAGATAAGGAGTAAAGAGGTGGGCTGAACGACCATTTTACTACTTGTGGAGCTGAAAATGAAGTTTTAGGAGTGGCTGGAAATACGAATACTGCTCTTCCACAAAAATATACTCCCAATTATGCTACCACTTTGGGACCACTGCACACTAACTGAGAACACTGGCTGACTCAAAGAAAACATTTAATTTAAATTATTTTGAAGTAGAAATGGGAAAATGGTAATCCCTTTCTGCTTTTCCATTTTACCATAGGGATAACGTTGAGCTGAAAGATGATGATACAAATATTAATTCACTCCGTTTGTCTGTGTGAGATCCTAGTCCTAGGTGTCATTGAATAATCTTACAGACAATGGACTTTCTGTTCCTTTATAAGGAACCTAGGTCCCAGGGATAGTATTTGCACAACTGTGTAAAGCCCCCCTCTGTAAAGCCTATAAAATGGTCCTGTTCCTGTTTTCATCTGTTCTCTTGATGACATTCAAATCTATTCATGACAACTGAGGAAAATAGGAAGGAGACCAAACAGATCAAAAGGCAGGAAAACAAAAAATATATGAAAGATACATTTAATTCTAGAAGCAGACTGCTCAAAGAAACCACTGGAACCACTGCTTACTCAGAACAATAACACATGGTATAATTTAGAAAGTGATGTTTTTTCCTAATTGCATAGGAAACAAGCACAAACATGGAATGCTCCATTTATGTACAGAACTGACTCTAGAGTTGGGTTTCTATTAAGCATTAGAGATTTGCTGTTTCATTTCTCACCAAAAACTAGAAAAATCAGAATATAGTTCTTTCACTGCTGTATATAAACTTAGAAAGTTTTAAAAACCTCAAGCCAAAATCATGTCGTGGGAAGAAAATCTCTCTACATACTGCATAGCCTTCATTAAAACATAAAAATAATCACAAGTTGCTTTGCTATTACTCTCAAGGAGAAAAACAATAATGAGCAATATACTCAAACTGTTCCTTAGCAATTTTATGAGATCAGACTACTTGGTTGGGTTCCCAAATATTCTAAAGAGAGCCAAGAAATTAACAGCATAACCTCTAGAGTCAGCCTGCTTGAGTCTGAATACCCTACCTTCTAATTACCAACTGGGGACTGTGGGAATACTTCACTATTTCTATGTTTACATTTCTTCTTTGAAAAATGGGGAAAACAGTGCTTCCCTTATGGGGTGGCTACAGGATTAAATGAGTTATTTTGCATCAGGGGCTTAGAATAGTGTCTGGCACAGAGCATTATGTCCCTTTGCCATTATTGTTAACATCGCTTGGTCTTTGGTTATTTAAAAAAATTGGCCTTCAGTTTCCTGGGGTGGTACTCTTCATTACTTTGAACCCATGACAGCTTTACTCCAGCATGCAACTCCTCCTCACCCTCATCTTTTTCTATAAGTTTCTTATGATTTTCATATTAGAGAGAAGCAACTATAGGCACCTGGGTGGCTCAGTTGGTTGGGCTTTTGCCTTTGGCTCAGGTGATGATCCCTGGACCCTGGGATCAAGCCCTGTGTTGGGCTCCCTGCTTGGTGGGAGTCTGTTTCTCCCTCTCCTTCTGCTGCTCCTCCTGCTTGTGCTCTCTCTCTCAAATAACTAAAATTTTAAAAGAGAGAGAGAGAGAGAGAGAGAGAGGGAGAGAGAAGTTCCTACAACTCAAGGACACCTCTGGACTGGAAAATAATTGATCTTACACATAGGGGGAACTTTTCCCAACAAAAGCTAGAGTTAGAATCATAACACAGATCACTCTATTGGCTCATCATAACCAACAACTAGGTATTAGATATGTAGACAATGACATTGGAAGAGATAACCCCTTGATACTGGTGCAGAAACAGACTCAGGGGGCAGCCCGGGTGGCTCAGTGGTTTAGTGCCATCTTCAGCCCAGGGCCTGATTCTGGAGACCGGGGATTGAGTCCCACGTCAGGCTCCCTGCATGGAGCCAGCTTCTCCCTCTGCCTGTCCCTCTCTCTCTCTCTCTCTCTCTCTCTCTCAATAAATAAACAAATAAATAAATAAACAAACAAATAAATAAAAATCTTAAAAAAAAAAAAAAAAGAAACAGACTCCGGTTTCTTCCTATTACCACCTCCCACAGTGTAAAGGTGAGGGTAGAAATAAGGGGAAATGTCCAGAACACCCTCCACCATAAAAAAGTCAGGTATAATGAAGGCTGTGCACTTGACATGCTACTCTCTGTACCCTAAGAGTGTAGGTAGCATTTATGAAGGAAACAACTCAGAAGTGACACAATTTTTACCAAAAAAGGACTCCATCTTTTTGGTAGAGAATCTCAACTCTTTGTAGAGAATCTCAACTCTTTGTCATGATACTCTCAAAGTAGAACTTAAACCTAAGACCCCGAGAAATCTATGGGACAAGATCTAACTTACGCACCACTGACAGATAAACTGATGTCCATACTGCTATTAGGAGAGGCTAAACATATTTGGATTAATGATAGGCCAAGAGAGGGTGGGAAAAGCAGGACAACAGAGCAGAAGACCTATGTCCTTCTGCTGGGCCTCGCCAAAATAAAATCACACTTCAGCCTAATATATCCTTCTGCTGGGCCTCACCAAAAGACCTCTTTCCAATGTTGAGTAAGCAAAGAAAGTTGAGATAAAGCTCTATAAAACACTGTGGAGTATACTGGAACTAAAGGCTAAAGGGGAAGGTTAACCAGATTTGCAAAAATAAAGGAAAAAGTATCACTCACTTTGAAAGGACTTTGACATAATGGATCTAATTAAATCAAACCCTCAGAAATCCACATTAATTGGATCTGCCAGGCAACTAAAATACAGACCTCATGATGAAGGAGACATTATAACAGCCATGAAAGTTGATAGGATACACAAGGATTTTGTATAATGGGGATTAAGCATATAAATATGGAAAGATACTTCACATTCTTGCCTCCATGTTGTTTTGTACAACAAAAGTGATCGATATTGGCAAAATGTTCCTTGAAGATGCCTATTAAATCATAGGAGTCAGCTAGAAAATGATGAAATTGGAATGGGACAAGAAAATATCTAAAAAAAGGGGAAAGCAGTAAATTATTTAGAAGAATGGAAGTTCATTACAATGGAAGTTTTGCTCCTAAGTCATTTACATTTGGCTTTCCAGTACACTGATCCTGTTTGCAATAAACAACACTGTGTTCTTCTTAGCTGCAACACTAAAATAGCTTTTCAGACCTTGAGAAGTTCTAACCAAGGAGGGAGATATTGTGGAGGCATGCTAAATCTCAGAGGATCCAAGGGTCAAGTCTTAAGCCTCCAGTGTCCAAATCACATAGAACTAGCGGAAATCATTTAAATACACACACACATACACACACGCAGGCACATACCTGTCTGTTTCACAGCTATCAATCCCAAAGGAATAAGGGTTCCCAACAGTTTCCAGGCCTAGGAATCCCTCCCATTGGTCAACAGAATGGGAAGGAGTTAGTACTCACATTCTTTGATGAACAAATAAGTAAGTGTCAGCACAACAGTGTGACCACTGAAGAGGAAGTCTCCACACAAGATATGGGATCCAGTTATGGACAATCCACCACCAGAAATCAATCGTAGAATCCGTTGTATTTTTGCCTGAGAGTCTCCGTTGAGCTGAATGACAAAAATATCAGGAAGAAACTTTACAAGCCAATAAAATCACACTTCAGCCTAATTTGTACGGTACTTAGGCTACCAGGCTGTGTTTTTTTTTTTTCTTTTTAACCTAAAAAGCCAAAAAGAGTCCAAGGGGGAAGCTCCTCAAATTAGGGTTTATTTGTTGCACTGGCAAGTTTTAGTGACACGTTTTAAATTATTCAGGATGTTACTATTAATATGTTATGGTGGTGGTGTGTCCTTGGGCAAAGCTTTTAAAAATATTAATAACCAATGACCTCACCACAGCTATGCACTAAAAAGATCAAAGCTACTTTCTTTCCTCTTTGTAGGGGGAAGTCAGGGTTTCGGATGGTTAATATTTGATTCAGCTGAATGCCACATTACTAATATTCTAAAGTGTATTCGGGGGACCTTGTGTTAAGTGGGCAGCCTAAAGTGTGCATACAGCTGTATTAATATCTGATCAAGACATTTACACTTAAGAAGGGGAGTTGCAACACATTACATAATTTAAATAGGTTTGAAAGTGACAGACTAGAGATGTATTGACAGCTTTAAAAAGGAATAGCTTTGCTCAGGAAAAATATCCTCCAAGGAAATAATCTGTGTGCTGTTGCAAAGTGTCAGAAGAGAGAGCTCCCTTGGACAACAGTGTAGAAGCCCCTAGAGGCTACAATGATGACAGGAAAAAATGATGGGCTAGGACAGGAGTTTGGCCCAATGGTCAAAAGTTTATATCTCATTAAAACTTAAGTATATAAGAAACAGTAGCAGACTGAGTTGGTCAAAATGGTAGGCATGGAGGGACACCTGGGTGGCTCAGCAGTTGGGCACCTGCCTTCGGCTCAGGTTGTGATCCTGGGATCCCAGATTGAGTCCCGCATTGGGCTCCCTGTGGGGAGCCTGCTTCTCCCTCTACCTGTGTCTCTGCCTCTCTCTCTCTGTATATCTCATGAATAAATAAATCTTTTAAAAAAAAAGAGAGAGAGAGGCAGAGACACAGGCAGAGGGAGAAGCAGGCTCCATGCAGGGAGCCCGACATGGGACTTGATCCCGGGTCCCCAGGATCAGGCCCTGGGCTGAAGGGGGCACTAAACCGCTGAGCCACCCGGGCTGCCCTAAATAAATAAATCTTAAAAAAAAAAAATGTTAGGCATGGAAAATTGAAATACTGAAACTTGGGACCCAGATAGAGGGTTTCAGATCAATCTAGTATCAGGTGAATAGACTTAGAAAATAAAAAAATGATAGTCAGAAATATAGTTAGGTAATAGTACACATAAGAAGAGAAATACAGAAAGACCACTAGGGACTATTCATTTGGGACCTAGGGGGACAGTTCTATGACATGTTGCCTTTTATACAGAATGATGATTCTTTTGGGCAACTGGTCCCTGAAGCATGGCCAGTTTAGCCATGATGGTGGTTAAACAGGTGGTAAAGACAGGCAGTATCCTGCCTAAGTGGATGCAAAGGGTTGAAGGTGGATAGGATGCTTACAGATAGATGGGAGGAGAGTCTGGGAGATTCAGTTAGCCTCTAAAGGAAGTGGAAAATCATCCTATCCATTACAATAGGAATCGGGACAGGATTCCTTGCCTAAAACATCACTATTGGGGAGCCTAGAACCTTCCTGATTTAAAAAAAAAATCATCTGGATCTGGAAAGCTTTCTGGTATTCAGATGACCCATGTAAAAAGGCAAACACACCATGACTGGTTGATAGCTGAGAATAAGACTCTGCAAGAGAAAATGGCATACCACAATTAGAGGGTAAGGTGAGAACTCATTTTCTCCAAAAGTTTACTTCGGGCAAGCCCAGGTGGCAAAACCAGAACATAGTCCTCAAACCAACATGCCAAGTAACAGGTGATCCTACCTTGAAAAGACAGGATCTAGAAGATTAAGTACTGCTGACAGAGTCATAGGACTCATTTCAGGTGTACCTCAGGAAAGGTATACTGCAAACTACGTAATGTGATATGCCCTTGATATGGAAGATAGGCTCTAACCCTGTGCTTTATCATATCAATCATAGTCCTTCAGGAATTTCTCGTCACATGGTACAAACAACTGTCAACACTGAGATCAAATTAAAAAGTACATATGCTGCCCAACTGCTGTGTTTCCAGTTTAAAAGGACACATTATTCTTCATTTCAAGTACATTCTTCATTTCTAATACATTTTTTAAAATCTGCTCACATATCCCAACTTTCTAAGGGCAGAAACACTTGAAGCCATCAGTCCCTTTACCTGGGATCAGATGGGCCCAAAGGTCTAAGCAGAAACTATTGCCACACATGCTGTCTTTTCCCCTCTTCCTTTCAGCAGAGAGGGTGAATGGAGATTTCTGATAGCATGGGATTCATTATCGATCCTATCATTGTTATCCTGTCAGTTCACATTCATTATAAATGCTAAATAGCCCCTCAAGAAAGTAAAAGAAAAAAAAAAGAGGATAGAAAGAAAACTGGGGAGGGTTCGAGAGGCTCATGGTGAGAATTGGGATTAATGGTGTCTTTTTCTAATTCACTGGGACCCCTATACCTCATCACTTAAGACTCTAGTTCCTATTAATTTCATTTTTTGGACACCATTTCTGTGCCATGACAGGCTATGGAACTGAAGTTGTAGACAGCTAAGAGGAGAGGCCTCAATCACAAGAGCAGACAGGTGCTCCATGTTCTTAAGTCCTTACACTGTCACCTCTGCACACCATGTCCACAGCAATAGAGTACAAGACAGTGCAACTTGGCTGCTGCTGAACCAGCAAACTCACCCTGCAGACTGTGCCTTCAGTTCAGAAGAAAAGTCCTCTGGGCACCTATGGCCAGGGTGAGGATATGTGAGCTTTCTCAGGGAAGGGACAATAGCTATCCCAGCCCAACATTCTTGTACATGGCAAAATGGCTTTGAGAACCTAAATCATTTCAGGCAAGTCCCAATAACTGGGCCCAAATTTATTTAAGCACTCTTCTCAGAACACAGATTTTATGACTTGGATTGGTAGGTTGAATCCCAACACTTGGATTGGTATGTTGAAGTAAACTGTAAGCAAAAAGATTTAGAGTGAGCCCTGAGGAATAGATAAGGGAGGAGCAGCTGGGAAACCAAAAGCCAAGGATTTCACCAATCTTGTGAAATCACTTGTGGTGATCGTATCTACAGAGTAACAAGCTGGATTAGGCATCGAGGACTATGTCGGACACCCTCCCACAGTGAGCAGTTTCAGCATACATGGTTCCAGCATTTCTCATAGCCACGAAGGGCATTCTATGAAGTCAGCAGCAGAGGAGGCAGGTGGATTACCTAATAGCCTTGTAACCACAAAAATCTAAGGAGCACTCAAAGCCCATGGCTGAACCACATTTAGAACACAATTCTGACTCCTGTTTTGTAACACCACATCACCTCCAGTCAAAATGATTTGTGTGTTTGTTTTACCGAACCATTACTCAGGCACCTATAGCCTGCTTCTACTGCAGGAAGAGGTCTTGACAACTGAACATGGGGGCTGATTAGCTAGGATGCCACCAGAGCTTCCATTGTATTTGTAAGCTTGGTTATCCAGTGGTACGTTTACTGATGTGGCTTCTGAAAATTGCAACTCTTCCCAGGAGGATAATCTTTAATTTACTTTCTTTCTATAATCATAGCAATTCATCTCCGCAAACCTCATCCATTACTAGGATGGGCTTGCCTTCTTTTCTGTGCCCATTTCTTCATTTAACACATAGCTTTGACCCCTTAGAAATGTTTACTATGTTTCTGAACTTCTCCCATGCCTTAAATTAGTTTCACTAAAAATCAGCCAATGTTTAAATTCAATATGTACACTGTTTTAATTACAGATACTTTCTGCTTTGATGGCTTTGGAAAATTATAGCTTCTCCAAACCACACCTATATTTGGTGAGGGAGACTGACTTCCTTAGAACAACTCTATTATTCCTTCCACCTTGGACATCTGCTTAGTGTTCAGTAAAATATGATGTTAGGCTTCATTCCTGTGTCCAGAAAGCACATGATTTGTAAGTTTCTTTTTTTATAAACCAGGGCATCCTGGGGTTTAAGATGATTAACAGCTCTCTCAAGAAATGACTCTACCTGGAGAGACTGTAAATCCTGCTTAAGACAGTTTCAGTACTCATTCCCACAATGTATCCAGCAAAAGGCCATTCTATCTTTCCATTTGCTAAAAACTTTGGGGGTCATCCTTGACTTCTTTCTCTTTTGCTCATGTCCAACTTATTAGCACAATTTGTTGGCCTTACCTTCAAAATGCATCCTGAATCAAATGACTTCTCTTCACTTCAGTGAGCCACAAGGGCTTAGAGGACCCACGGCCTGTACCACTTCCACCCTTCCCACCTCTCCTTAGCCAAGGGATGGGCCTCCTGCCATCCCTTGAATCCACTGTGACTAAGCTATTTCCTTGGCCTAGTGCTCCCCTCATCCACAGGGCTCACTTCCTCATCTCATTTCCTGCCCAAATGCTTTCTTACTATAGAAGCCTTTCTGATTTCTCTATACAGTTGTCTACCCTCAGCGTCCCATCACCCTTATGCAGCTTTTCTGTTCTTTATCTAATAGCGACCTGACTCATCATCATGTTACAAGTTATGCATTTAATTTTCAGTTATCATCCCTCAATATACTATAAGGTTTTTATTTTTTTAATTTAAATTCAATTTGCCAGCATATAGTATACCACCCAGTACTCATCCCATCAAGTGCCCTCCTCAGTGCCTGTCACCCAGCTACTCCATCTCCCCACCCACCTCCCCTTCTGCAACCCTTTGTTTCCCAGAGTTAGAAGTTTCTCATGGTTTGTCTCCCTCTCTAATTTTTCAAACTCAGTTCCTCTCCTTTCCCTTATAATCCCTTTCACTATTTCTTATATTCCACATGAGAGTGAAACCATATGGTTAGTGTCCTTCTCCGATTGACTTATTTCACTCAGCATAATACCCTCTAGTTCCGTACACATCGCAGGAATATAAGCTCTTGAAGAAGAACTTTGCTTTGGTCATTGCTGTTGTTATAGAGCCTGGCCTGGTACATAACAGGAGCTTAACACTTGCAGCCTGAATGAGTGCATGAATGAATAAGTGAGAAGGCAAAAAACCAGAGTTGAACACCCCACTGTAACTTTTAGTTAGCAGAAAATGAATTTCTGATGCACAAAGATACATATTTTATGAACATATTTGAACTTCTTCCCCCCAAATCCAAAGAGAAACAAAAAGTATAGGTTAATACCTATAAAAAGGTCTAACATATCATACAGCAAGCAGGTGTTCAATAACAGCTTTCTTCATCTCTACATGCTAACTCTGAGGTGCTTACCTTTGGGGCACACTGAAAATGCATTCCAGGCACAGGAAGAGTAGTAACGTACATTGTGATACAGCGATACAGGTATAAAGTTCCAATGATAAAAAAGAATCTACGTCCTACTATTGACCTAAAGGAAAAATAGGAATAGGGAAAAACAGGTTTACTCCTTGTTTCTCCTCCTAATGTAATATAAAACAACGTTTAACAGAATAAAGGATAATCAATACAGAGTAGCATTAATAGACCACAGTTTCATAGCTCAAAAGACTTACATGTGAACGGCCCACACCTACAATTCCATGGAGAGGTCACACTGCAGTTTTCAGAAACAAAGGTTCACCTATTATAATAAATCTAGGTGGGTTAGGACCCAAAAGGAAGATCTGTAGAGGGAGGACATTATAGTAGATTAAGGCTTCTAGACAACCACCTATACTTAAAAAGTCACTCTCTGCCAAAGAATTCAATGAACTGCTCTATGTTTTCAGTCAACTCACCGCATTAATAAAACCTTCTCTTGAGAGCATAGCAAAGGTATAAATGAGCCACAGTCACAGAGGAATTAACTAATGAACTAAGGTGATATTACATAATTGGACACATAGGGAAATGGGACAACTAATTTAACCTAGGTTATATAAGCAAGTTTTATTTGGAGACCATCCAAAAGTATCTTCACAACTTGGGCACGAACTATTTTGTCTATGACTATATAGATTTTCAGAGAATTATATTTTGAAAATGTCCAAAGCACCCTGTGCATTTATGGACATTTAATGGTAAAGCTGTAAACTGATCAGTTTACCCTTGTTTTGTTCAACCTTGATCAAAAAAGGTAAAAAAAAAAAAATCCCTTAAGTCCTTTTATACTTTATATTGGTGGGGACAGTGGTCTTGATTAACACCAGTCCCTGTCCGGTACCACTGAGTCCTAACTCCAAGGCAGTGGTTCCCAGTGGTTTTGACTTTGTGCACATTGTCCTCTGAGATGGGAAAGGCTCTCCCTGTTTGCACCACTGCCTCATGTGTATTTGAATGGGCTTCAAGGGTTCTGAGTGTCCTTATGTCCAGCTGAAGAGGACAACTCATTTTCTACTGTGTAATTAGGGGTGGGTCTATAAACTGGGTTCTGGGGATTCTGAAATGGGTGGGGTCCAGAAAGCCCCTAGAATTGATAGTTGTAACTTCCCTAGCACATAAACTGTATTACTACAGGTCTCTCATTTTTGGGGCTCTCAAACTTTCAAAACTAATACTGATAAAAGACTTCTGGAAAACTAGGCAGTTTCAGGCATGTGGCATATTTTTAGTTTTCTCTAAAGATTGTGGTCTGATGTGGATCAAAGTCTAATTCAGGTAACCGCTGGGAATTCTAATTTACAGGATTATGTACGAATATAATTTTAGTTGCCTGTTTCCAGTAGCTATTTTAAGAATATTCCAGGATTTCTGGGGTCAAAATATAGAGAAGAAAACTACCTAGACTATTAGATGAGGGGCACCTGGGTGGCTCAGTTGGTTAAGCATCTGCCTTTGGTTCAGGTCATGATCCTGAGGTCCTGGGATGGAGCCCGCATTGGGCTCCCTGCTCAGCAGGGAGTCTGTTTCTCTGTCAGCCTCTGCCCCTCCCCTGCTCATGCACGTGCTCACTCTCTCTTAAATAAATAAGTAAATCTTTAAAAAATAGACTATTAGATGAAAGTATTTTAGGGCAAGGCCATTTCTTTCAAAGGCTTGCCATACTAACTCTGTCGTTTCTAGTACTGAAAAGGAGTAAGTGATAATCAGTGCTGAGTTTCTCCGTTTGGTTAAGTGAAAAACAATTCACCCTTTGCTTCAACCTCAGACCCAGAAAGAGCGCTAAACTGTGTTGTGCTCCTTGCTGTTAGACAAGGTGAAGTAATAAGTAAGAATTATTATGAGTCAATTATATTCATTCTGGCATTTTGAGTTCAGCTGTATTCAGAATTGAAAATTAACTTAGAAGGTAAAATGTGCACTCTGCAACCCTATTTAGAAAAATAACCATTCCTAATTATTTTTCCCCCACAGCTTTGAAGGTGCTTTTACAAGACAGAGTAAGTAGGATTTCTCATTTAGCTAGGATTATTCAAAACAGGTTATAAAAATTATTCTACTAGTTGCTAAAATATGATACAATTCTACCTCAAAACTTAAAAAAAAAAAAAGGTATGATTTCCCCAACAAACCAACCTGAAAATGGGTTGTGATCAAAACAGTATAGAAATTAAAATGTGTGGCCAGCTATGTGACCAGAAGTTTGTTTGTTTCAAGGAGGTAGGGGTGGAAGGAAAGGGAGGGAGAGAGAATCTTAAGCAGACTCCATGCCCAGCACAGAACTGGATGGGGCTCGATCTTAAGACTCTGAGATCATGACCTGATCAAGAATTGGATGCTTAACTGACTGAGCCCCCCAGGCGCCCCCACAAGTTTTGACATGTGGCGCCCACACATGTTTTGACAGGGTAGTCAGGGAGAGGCAGCTCATAATAACTCTCTAGATGAAGGTTAAAATTGAGACTGTGATTCTAGATAGAAGCCAGTTACTTACCAGACCCTGGAAAATGTCTCTTTTCACATATAGATGAAGAAAACATTGGTCTCAGTTAAGGGAGAAAGCAAACATGTTTGGCCTAAGTAGGCTCTTTTATTTTCAGTGTCAGTTGTAGACACCAAAAAGAGAAACACTAATGTTCAACAAATCTTGTTTGTTTTTGGCATACCATAACTTAACAACTTTGGCAGTAAAAAGTTCTAGGGAAAGACAGTTGATAGGTGCCTTTTACTTATACATACTAAGGAAAATGTTTAGGAACAAGTTCAGTTTGTGGAACAAGGTTTTCAAAACTGCCAACGTGAGTTTGGGGAGTTCTTGGGCAAAGAGAGACTGAATTCTACTCTCAAAGTAGCTAGCAATTGAAAGAACAACATAGCATGAGTTCTCTCTTCTATAAATAATTTTGTGGCATTCATGCAGAAATCCCATTTGTGAGTTTTTGAACAGTATCGACTAAGTACACATAACATTTTCAAAAGCCTCAGTTTATGGGCAATGTTTTGATCAAACTTATATTTTAGGGACTTAATTGCTAGAATCTTAGTAGAGAACAAAACATCTGAATGATAAATGAGATGGAAAGGGAATTGAGGGGCCTTGTTTTTATAGACTAGCTGCCAGATTTCATAGGGAAGCAAAAATAACCACTTCAGAGTTATGTCCTATTTTTAAGTGCCTTTAAAGCAAAAGTACGTGGCTTTCCTACTTCCTGATTGCCCCTATTCCAAAACAGGGAGACTGAAACCAGTGAACTAAGGGCTCTATTATGGTGCCATGGGGAAACTGGACAGCACATTTACTTCGGAAATCTCAAACCCAAACCACATGGACCCACGTCTAAATTCAGTTTCTTACATTCTTGTGACTGGATTGCTAATACGTAAAATAAAAAGAAATGTAAAATTTGAGAACTCCTGAATAGAAGCAAACCTCAAGGAATGCTATTGACTATAGACTGATATAGTCATCACACTATGAGTAAGAGAGGCAAGTTCGCAGGCAACTCCATTCCCCACCTGTTAAAGGCCTAAAATAACAAAAGCATGATGAAGTGAATGTTATTCCTCTCCAAGCCTCTTGATTTATCATGCAGATACCACAGCACTGAGTTACTTGAAATCAGGAACTGCACCTTGAATTAATCAACTCTGAATCACCGACCATGATATATCCATAGCATCCTCATGGTTACCTCTCATACACAGTTGCTTTTTAAATGCTTATTTATTCAATGAGGTAGATCCTTCCATTGCTTCCTGTCATCAAATGCCTGGATAGGACTGAATTTATCAGACAAAACTGAGGAAGACCATTTCAATTACACATCTACCCCCTTAAATACAGACTTATGGCAAGCCCCATAATTAGTAGACCTACTTACTTGTATCTCAGGAACAGCCACTGGGTGATCCATAGTCCAACTAATATAATCCCATTTATTTCTGATACAGAAAATGCCCATTTTACCCGATCAATGTAATCAAAAAACTTGTCTGGTAGTGGAGGGCTGAGCTCCTTGGGAGGCACTCTTTCGTGTACAACTGTGATCATAACGGTTGTTAAGACGAGGTTGAAAAGAGCATACACGAAGGCAATACCTGTTTTCCACCACTCCAGGGGAAATTTGTTCCTTGATTCAGTGGGCATAGCAATTTGGATATAGTCTGGGTACTTTTTGGTGCCCTTTCGCAACCCATTGGATAAGCTCTTAGGTTTACTGTTGCCATTTTTGTTTTCTTCTTCGGGAGGCTCAGCAGGTCTCGTGTAAGTATTTGCAGGATCATTGGTTTGATTTTCCATATGTTCTTCAAGTTTTGCTGTCTCTATAATATCCATTGTTCTCCAATCTTCGGATCAAAAAGATGGTAAAGTTCTTGTTCTTTGTGCAAACTTAACGGTTTTAAATCTTTCTATTTCTGAGATCAACATGGATTCCTATAACTGATTTTGTTTCCTAGCACAAAAGGTAGAAGGTAGCCATCTGATTACTGTTCCCTCCATGCAGCTACCTGCTGTACACTCGCCACTTTCAAGAGGGGAAACCAATTTTCTTTTTCCCAAAGGTGTCACTATCCCACCTGCAAAAATAAAACAAAAATTATGTTCAGAAACCGTGCTTGTCCACTTGTCAACCATCCAAACAAAAAGATTGTCAAAATAAGGAAATACCAAAGCCATTTCTTTATATAAATATATTGTCAGAACATGGTTAAAGCTGTTGAGACGGAGTTTATTTATAAAATATTGCGTTGTTTTATCTTGGAATTCTTGTCTCTTTTTGAGGTGATGTCAGTATAAATAGGAACATTTTAATAATCAATTCCTTTAAAATTTCTTTAAATAGAAATAAGGATCCAACTTTGCAAACACTTCATCAGACACTATTACTTGTTGCTAACCATGAAGTCACAATAAGCTAGAACCTCTCTGGAGATCACATCACTCTTTCCTAAGACTGCAGCTTTTCTATGAACCTGGAAGAACCAAAACTGTGATGAGTTGCTCACATGCACTGAATAACTGTTACTCTTTCCACTGGTCAATGAGCCCATTTTTTACATTCTCCTTAAAAACCTGGAGTCTCTTCAGGTGACCACTTTTCAGAACAGATTTGAGGACCACACATTCAAGATACTTGAAATGGCACTGCCTAGGTTTATCCGTTTATATGTAGAGATGCACACCATATACCAGGAAAGCTGACAGCCTTCAAAATAATACAGTGAAAAGATACACAAAACCTTAGCTATCTGTGTCTTACTGAGGGAACGCATTCTATCTGTAACTTGAAAGATAAAATATCACAACTGGCATGGCAAACCAGTAAGGAACATTTTGAGACAACCACCACATCATCTACCAGACAACAGAAACTGACACCCAGAGACCAGCTCCAGGCACTCACCACCATGACACGGATGAGGAAAGGGTGCCTTCGGCTTAAGCTCCACGAGGTCCAGAGAGCAAAGACTTCTTCCCAACACAGAGCACCGGCACCAACTCTTTTATACTTGTTGGCAACACAGCCCCAGCTGTTCTCAATTTAGGAAAGCAGTATTTTCGTCATGCTGCCGAACCCGGCCACCTGAAGAGGTTTTCAAACCTCATAATTAGTCCCCGCCCTGAGTACACTGCACAACTCAAGCATAATTCTTCACATTTTAAAGACCTCCCTTTCAGGGGAACTTCGGGAAAAAAACAGGGAGATTAAAAACTCAAAGTGGGACAGCTAAGCCTTTATTTAATGAAAGAAAAAGGGGAAAAGTTAAAATGGCATAGTAAGTACAGGGAATATTTGTTGACAGTATAGATAGCAAATAGAGCTACCACAAGTGTCTACTGTGCACCTGAAAACGCTAGCGCTGAAGGAGCAACGGGGCAGGAATTAAAAGGAGTTTAAAAACCATGGTGGACGTTCATTCAAAGAGCTTGCAGTCTGATTGGAGAGACAGAACTCATGTGAAAAAAAAACTCCTTAAGTAGACAGAAAGGCATATTATAAAAGAAAGGATGAGGGGATCACTAGATAAAAATGTAGCTTTAGGGGCGCCTGGATGGCACAGTCGGTTAAGCATCCGACTCTTGGTTTTGGCTCAGAATGGTGATCTCAGGGTCATGAGATGGAACTGTACATCAGGGTCTGTGCAGAGTCGACTTGAGATTCTCTCCCAGGCCCCTCCACTTGCCCCTCCTGTTCATTCTCTCTCTTCCAAATAAATCTTTTAGCAAAAAAAAAAAAACAAAACAAACACAGTTTTAGTTCTATCCCTACTCCCCGGACCGATGTGTCTACAGAGAGGCACTGTCCTTCTCCGGGGAAGTGAGAGCATGAGGAAAGTTGAATTGGAGAGAGATGGAGGGTCACTGGAGGATGGAGAGGGGCTAGAGTTATCGCTGAGCAGCAGATATCTGATCCCTGTGAAAAACCACAGCCACTAACACACGAGAGTAGGATGTGAAAGGACCAGTGCCCCTCTCTAGAAACGAGAATTGACAGATACTCTTTGTAGAACCCTAGCACAGTGTTGTGGGAAGCATTAGTGAAGATATTTGCAAAAACAAACTTCTGACACCATGAATCACCACTTCTAACAGAGACGCCAAAACACTAACTCAGCCATTGCCCTTCCTCACCAAGTCTAGGCTAACCCACACACAGCATCTTACCAAACTCCTCAAAATTCCCTCCCAACTTTACTATTCCACATCTGCTCCTAGCCTGGTGTTCATATGTGAAAGAAGCCTGTGATTTTTTGAAGCCCTGGTCCAATGGTGAACATACTGACAGGCTTTATAAGGTAGGTATCCCGTTCTAGAACATAGAATGTAGAACAGAAGAAAATCCAATGAGTTACCTGTTTGTTTGTTTTTTTTCTCTTCCCTAAGAGGAAGCACTCAGCCACCCACCTCATGGGACAACTGTGAAGATGACTGAAATAATTAATCATGAAGAGCTTTGTGCTCCTGGGAGTGAGAGCACTTTGTGAGTGCAAAGCCCATTTATTGTCATTAGTAGCAGGACTGATATTTTCCTTGGGATTTCATTAAGAAGATTGAATATACAGAGCACATTCATCCTGTGTCAACCAATCTTGGGACAGTGATTGCCATCAAGATGATAATTACAACATCTTCATTCCTATGGTGATCTTTTCCTATAGTAAGTATCTGGGAAAGTGACAAAAGCCACAATAGTTTCTCTGGATGGAGAGTAATCCCATTAGTTCATTTGTTTTGGGTACTATGCCAGAGCACAAGGCAAATGAAAAGCTTTCCAAGTCCTCTTACACTGCAAAATACCAGAAGCTAACCTAGAGAATATTTTAAAAGTTAAAGACCCCTATAAACTAATTTTCCTTTAAAGGCAAGTGCAAAACTCTGAAACTCTTGATACACTGACACTGTTAGGTTTTTGGGCAGACAAAGCATGATGTATTCTAGAAATTCAAGGAAGGTTTCAGATTAGGAAAGGGCTGTAATAAAACACAAAAATACAAATAAAAAAGATACGATTATCTTGAATGAAGTAAAAAAGGCATTTGATACAAATATTTACTTGATTTTGGTGGGGGAGAAAGTATTCAATAAAGGAAATAGAAGTATCTATACAGAGCCACATTCTTCAATACCAGTAGCATGTGCTACGCGTGCCAATATGTAGTAGAAAGTCTTCCACTGTTACTTCTCTTTTCTGCCCTAAATGAACTTTGGAATCTTTCTGTCAAATTACCAGAAAACACATTATTAACTTGTTTTATTTCTATCACCTCAATTTTGTAAAGGGTTTGATATTACCATATTCCTACATTAGTCATTTCCCCTTAATTATCTCAGGATGATTTTATGTAATTTGACAAAATGATTCCATGGTTCACACTGGTAGGTATAAGGCTATATATTACAGTCACTAATACTGGTGTAATGGTACCCAGTTATTCTATTTTGAGTTTATTCAAAGGAAATAAGAATGTACACAAAATATTTCTACAAGTATGTTTTCAACAGTCATTTATAAGAGAAAATTGAAAATAATCTACTATCCAACAAGAGGGGATTAGTTAAATGAATTCTGTTTATTTTAATATTATAAAGTACTATGTTTTTATATAGTAACTATAAAAGTATGAGGCAAATATATAAATATTACCTAAGAAGGATGCAGTATCCAATTAAATATAAACTTAGATCTGGGAGATCCCTGGGTGGCTCAGCGGTTTAGTGCCTGCCTTTGGCCCAGGGCGTGATCCTCGAGTCCCGGGATCGAGTCCCACATCGGGCTCCTGGCATGGAGCCTGCTTCTCCCTCCTCCTGTGTCTCTGCCTCTTTCTCTCTATATCTAAATAAATCTTTAAAAAATAAAAATAAAAACAAAACAAGGAATGCCTGGGTGGCTCAGCAGTTGAGCATCTGCCTTTGGCTCAGGGTGTGATCCCACTGTCCCGGGATCGAGTCCCACATTGGGCTCCTTGCATGGAGCCTGCTTCTCCCTCTGCCTTTCTCTCTGTGTCTCTCATAAATAAATACAATATATTAAAAAATAAAATAAAATAAAATAAAATAATAAACTTAGATCTGAAAAGGAGATGTAGAATCTTAATAATTTATATCAGAGGTTATGGTTTTTAAAAAATGGGAAAGGGGCATGTGACAGATACTCAAGACTATTAGAAAAGGTCCAAGTTTGAAACTCATGACATATGCATCTCCTCAGTAGTCCTAACCCGAAGCTTGCTGATGGCTTCCCAGAGTGGAGACACGGGCTCCACTCAAAACTCAAAAATGGTTTGCTTGCTAGATTTGTACGCCAGCCTCATTGTGCATTTGCAGTGGTTAAGACAAATGTGTAAATGTAGTTTAAAAATTAAGGAAGCTTATCTAAGTTTATGTTTGGATTTTAATGTTTAAAAAGAGGCTATCTGTTGAAAAAGGAAGTTAAACACTGAAGAAAGAAAATCTGTTTTTAACATTTGCAAGTTGGAATTATGAATAAAAGAAATTTATACATAGACCTTAAAGGCTTAGGAAAAACCAGGTCTTGAAACAATTACAGTGAATTGAAAAATCAATGGAAACAAACACCTGGTAAGTAAGTTTTTTAACAGACATAAAAGCTTCCTCAGACTTACAAAACAAACAAAAAAAAAAAACCCAGAAAACCTCAAAAATCAATTGTCACCATAAAGCCATTAAAAAGTGAAGTTGTAGAATAGTTCTCAGAAAATACTACTTACATAACTAATTCTCATTATAACCCTAGGAAGTATTGTAAAGAAACTGAGATAAAGTGAGATGCTCAGGGCCAGACAGGTAGAAGGCTAGACTGGAACCAGGAATCTGACCTCAGGGGCCCCTATTCTTACTGGCACACCACCACCTCCGGTGCCATTACATGTAGAGGTCAACAATACAATCAGCAAATAAATAAATAAGTGACTATCAATTAATAGCTTTCTTTTTTTTTAAGAAGAGATGCGTAAATACATAGGAAAGTCCTCTAGGTAACATCAGACACATTTTTAAATCTTTGTAATTTTGCAAAAATTTGTATACACTTAGAAAAAGTTTAATATATAACTCACTCCTCCTGTGGGAGGAGGGGAAAAGGGAAGAGCCAATTAAGTATTTCCCATCTCTATACCTACCGTTTAACTATAGTTATTGTTACTAATAAACTACCATTTAAGTTTATATCACTTTATGTTAACAAGATCCATTTTAGCTAAGATATTTTATGCCCAGAAACTTTTTTCAGAAACAAAGACATCTTAGCTTTCCTTTCTTAACAATTTTAGAGTTTAGCTTGCTTACAAAACTCTTCTCACCTAAAATGGATAAGTACTAAAAATGTTTACAGATAACGAGGATATCATATCAGTCATGGGATTCTATTTCAGAAGGAGTCACAAAATTTTCTAAGTATTTTTACTAATGAGTTCTTGAAAACTTAATAGAGGATCAGTTTACTAATTATCATGTATTTTTGTGAAATACTTTCCCAGCAAAAGTAACATGAGTCTTTGTCAGACCTTTATAATAAGTTTTTATACTGCCACTAGGTCCCACAGCTGTATAGGTATGATGACAAGGAAATGGGCAGGCTTTGTAGGGTGACAACTCTGGGAACGGATCTGAAAAAGAATTTTTTAAATTTAAAAATTAAAAGATACAACCGAACTTCTGAATTTGGGGAGAGATATGCTTGGGTAGAGGAAAGTTGTTTTGATTTCTGGTACTGATTTACTATCCCTTATTTGAGAAGGTTGGACATTAGCTCCATATCCAGTAGTCGTAAGAGAAAGATCCAGCCTACTGGTTGCCTGGGGCTGCTGGTGGGAATGCAGAGTGACTCCAAATGGGTTGGAAGTTTCTTTTGGGGGGATGGAAAGGTCCTAAATTAAGGATGATGGTTGCACAATTCAGCAAATTTACTAAAAATCATTTTAGTTGTGCCCTTACATGAATTTTATACTATGTGAGTAATAACCCCATTAAGCTTTAAATGTGTGTGTGTGTGTGTGTGTGTGTGTGTGTGTGTGTGTGTGTGTAGCCTGTTGAGATAAGTTGTTTCTAAGGAACCAGAAAACCAAGGGCTACTCCACATGCTGTTATTATGTTCCAGGCTCACGTATTCCTGTCAAGTGTAGTACTCACCAGTTGAGCATTTCTTTAGCAGTGATTCTGCAATATACATTTCTAAGTTTTCTACAGACAAAATCAAGAACCAATCAATGAAAATCAAACCACTTAAGAAAATTTGCATAAACTATCCTCCAGAAAAACCCTTGTAACTAAATAATATGAAAAGACAAAAAAAGATGGATTTCCTCTAACAGATTTAAAATTTACCGAGTTGTATTCAAAGAAAAAAAGAGATGGTTAATTTTCTTTCTCACTAACAACAATAACAACAAAAAAACGGTCACTTTAACTGGTGAGGTAGACAATTTAATACTTGTTGAAAGGAATACTTATTCACACAGAGCAAATATTAGCTGTGTAAATTGGAAAACAATAAATCGTGGGACTGGGAGTGTTTCACAAGAAGGGATCATCTTCAGGCCATAGTGCAGCATGAGAGGGAGAGCAGTACTCAGCCTGTATTGTTTCTGACTTAAGTTTGATATAATAATAAGTACCTTCCCTAAGATTTGACTTGTAAAATGTTTCATAGGATGTTTTAAAATCTGGCTTCTACTTCCTAACTGCCTTTTTTTTTTTAAGATTCATTTACTTATTTGAGAGAGTGCGAGTGAGCAGAAGGGGAGGGGCAGAGGAAGAGAGAATCTCAACAGACTCCGCAGTGAGGCACTGAGCTCAGAGCCTGACGCAGGGCTAGATCTCATGACCCTGAGATCATGACCTGAGCCAAAACCAAGAATCAGATGCTCAACCAACTGAGCCACTCAGGAACCCTAAGCTGCCTTTATTATTGCAATGGCTTTTATTATATTTAAATTTATTTTTATTAATAAAAATTATTTTTGCTATTTATATTTTATTATTGCAATTCTTTTTTATTGCAATGGCTGCAGAATTTCGATGATCAGATCTGATTCCAGTGTATTTTGGAAAGACAAAATCACCATCCTAGGGTTGAGGGACCGAGGTTTTCTCACAGGAGCAGGGTGGTGGTGGGGTGGACTCAAGAGAGCTAAAATCACAGGGAAAGACAAGGTGACAATCTGCGGTACGATGTGTAATATGTGGTGTGGAGAATAAATGAATCAATGAATGAGTGAATGAGCGTGTAGACAAGTTAGACAGACCCACCAGACAGATAGGAACACAGACAGACAGACTGACCAGGAACCAGCAGATAGAAGAGGGCTGTAAAACGAGGTCAAAGACTAGGAAATATTTTAAAAATTCTTTAAGTTCCTTTAGATATACTCTAAATCAGACATTCTCAGAGTTAAGGGGTATAGTCAGGGACACACCAAGCACTTTCCCCAAAGGCTGCCTTGTGCTTGCCTTAAACCCTTCTCCTGACCTCCACTTTGGACACCTAGGAAAGCTCAGAGAGTTTCCAGAGGGTGGGGTGATAGAGAGTACTCCTGGTGTTGTCTTCTTCCTTTATCTGTTTTCAGCCTTCAGTAGAAGTAGGCTAGAATTTTCTACTTCCCATTCCTCTTTTCTAAAGTCACTGCAAGTGAAGTGTGATAGACCCATGGCCTCAGAAAATTAGCTGGTTGAAGTCTTACCTTTGTGCCAATGATGCTTGTCTACTTCAGCACATGAGCAAAAGAAGGCTCCTCTGGTTTAAACAGACGTGTACTCTTGAGAACTTGAACTGTATTAGAGAATAGATGTTTGGTCACTAGAAGCATGCCCACTGCCCCTTTGCCCCCATGACTGGTACTACCTCCTCCGTGTTTTACGGTCAAACAAAAGCCACGAGCTCTTGTTCAGCATAAACACCCAGGGTGTTTAGCAGAAAGGTTAAGTCTACAGCCTAACTAAACAGCGGTGATAATGATCTGTTTCTACATTCCTATTCTTCCTTATATACCCAAAGATTTATATACACAGAAACGGATTCCTTTGGGTTTTTATATTTACTACTCTGGAATAGGAGCACAGATTACCTATTGCAATGAGGACTTTTCCAGAAACTGTAAAAAATTCCATTTTTAATATAGTTAAGCCTAATATTAGAGTCTATGGTTTCTCCTAAGAGCAGTGGCTGGTCCAAAAGAAAAGCAGAAGCTGGGTCGAACAGTTTCACACAGTCTCCAAACCACACAGCATATTCTGAATGATATTAGAAGACCTCCTTTGGAGTGAGTAGATCAGAGTCAAGTTAACGGTGTATTTCCTCAACAAAAACAAAAATGTTTCTAGATTTGGATGCATATCATTATTACTGGAAAACCATGATAAAAAATGAGAGAAGGAAAAAAAGAATAGTTCCTTAAGGATAATTTCATAATTCTCTACTATAATAAAGCTCCTTTATTTCACGTCCTTCAGTCAAATGCTCTACCACTGAGCTATACCCCCTCACGTCCTTCAGATTACTTAGAAATACACTTACTGATTTCTCCCTCTACCATGTGGTGACCAAACTGTGGAGATATTTTATACAATTTCATAGCCTATTTAAATGGGTATTTAAAAATGACATCTTGAAACTCTGCTTGCTATTTATCAGCTTGCTGTTTACCAGGCTACTACCACTTTGAGATGTGAGTGAAATCACCTGTAAGCAAGAACTCCGCAAGGGAGTTAAAAGATCTTGCAGTAGTGTGGAGGTGAGGCTTTAGGAGAAGCATTTAACCAGGCGCTGGCAGTTAAGACATACTGTGGTTACAGCAGAGGGCAGATGCCAAAGAACAGGAAGTTTACTCAATCCCCAGTGCTGTTGTAGGAATGACACCCAGACACACTCCGATACAATTTCCTTGTTAGAGGTCTAAAGTCTGCAATTAGACATTTTAATATATATTTAAAATATAATGGTTAGGGACGCCTGGGTGGCTCAGTGGTTTAGGGCTTGCCTTTGGCCTAGGGCGTCATCCTGGAGTCCCAGGATTGAGTCCTGAGTCCCATATGGGGCTCCCTGCATGGAGTCTGCTTCTCCCTCTGCCTATGTCTCTGCCTCTCTCCATGTGTCTCTCATGAATAAATAAATAAAATCTTTATATATATATAATGGTTATTGTATTTCTGCTTAGTGCTGTGGCAACAACCACGTTCAAGGAACAGCTTAATACAATCCAAGAGATTTTTAGGGGGAGCACTTCCTTGTAGCAAGAATTAAAACACTCAAAGATTAAGGAGAAGGAAGCACCTAGAATCTGTACCTTCAGGAGGTTTGCCCGATTTGCTTGTTGGGATTTGGGTGTGGTGTTATACAGGACTGGGTAGAGGGTAAAGGTGCTTGGGGAGCATGAAGGCGAGGTATTTCTCTGTGTTTTGAAGTCCTGTGCTCCAGCACACCTGGGTTCCTTAAGGCAGAGCAGGGTTTTCACTATAAGGCAAGGAAAAAAATAGGAAAAAAGAGACCATGGAAGACCCAGAAAGGTCTGTATAAAGCCTACATTTCTCATTTTCTGATGCCAACCACAAAAATGTTCTTTTGCATGACTGGCCGAACAAGCCACTGCTTTCAAATGGTATGAGGCTATAAAAAGCAATACTTTCTCCAAAGCCATTAAGGTCACTATATTTGGCTCTAGTTTCTCAGAATTTAAGCTGCCATGTTGTATTTTAAATACATTATTTGTTTCTCAAAAGCTCTTATTTGACCAATGCTTCTAATCTAGGATTTTGTTTTTTGCAAAAAACCTGATAATGATGATTTATGTTTCCTAATTTTGGGTCTCCAAAGAGACCCGGATTTTCAAACTTGATCCAAAACAAGCATTAGCATACGCTGGGGGAAAGGCAGCAAAAAGTAATTTAAAAGATTAAAATCCTGAGTCTAACAATGCCATTTTATTTTATTTTTAAAAAAGATTTATTTATTCATGAGAGATACACAGAGAGAGGCAGAGACATAGGCAGAGGGAGAAACAGGCTCCATGCAGGTAGCCGGATGCGGGACTCAATCCCAGGACTTCAGGATCACGCCCTGGGCCGAAGGCAGGCGCTAAATCGCTGAGCCACCCAGGGATCTCCTACCAATGCCATTTTAACACTTTCAAGGAATGCAACAATTTCAGTGTTATATTGGTATCTGAAATATATCTATAAAATATTTGCCTACTGAATTTTCATTTATCCTAATGACTTAAAAAGAAACCATCACAAAGCATACATTTCTATAATTATTACCAGAAAGTTGGCATATTAAAAAAAATTTTCAGGAGCACCTGGGTGGCTCAGTGGTTGAATGTCTGCCTTTGGCTCAGGGTGTGATGCTGGGATACTGGGATCAAGTCCCACATCAGGCTCCCTGTGGGAAGCCTGCTTCTTCCTCTGTATGTTTCTGCCTCTGTGTTTCTCTCATTAATAAATAAATAAAAATCTTTTTAAAAATTAAAAATTTTCATTTGGAGGAAATAAATCTGGTTTATATACCATCATATTTAAATATCATCTTAGTAAATATTAGTGCCTAAGTATCTGAATACTCAAAATGACTGCCAACAGACATGGTCATGGTTTGCTATAGAAAATGAGATTCTGGGGGATCCCTGGGTGGCGCAGCGGTTTGGCGCCTGCCTTTGGCCCAGGGCGCGATCCTGGAGACCCGGGATCGAATCCCACATCGGGCTCCCGGTGCATGGAGCCTGCTTCTCCCTCTGCCTGTGTCTCTGCCTCTCTCTCTCTCTCTCTCTCTCTCTCTCTCTCTCTGTGACTATCATAAATAAAAAATAAATAAATGTTTAAAAAAAAAAAAAAGAAAAGAAAATGAGATTCTTTAAGACTAAATCCCAATGTCTTCAGCAAGAGCAAATGATCCAGGAATCTCTGAGCATTAAAGCATTTGGATACATTTCTCTCTCAAGACAGGAGACAGCTCACTCAAGACTTTTATTTGTCTATTTGACTAAAGACCCCCTGTATATGGGATCCCTGGGTGGCACAGCGGTTTGGCGCCTGCCTTTGGCCCAGGGCGCAATCCTGGAGATCCGGGATCGAATCCCATGTCGGGCTCCCGGTGCATGGAGCCTGCTTCTCCCTCTGCCTGTGTCTCTGCCTCTTTCTGTGACTACCATAAATAAGTAAAAAAAAAAAAAAAGACCCCTTGTATGGAGCTTGACCACTCCACCACAAAGCCTAGGGACTGCTGGTACAGTAAGGATCACAAGAGTGGATGTACATACACCATCGGTTACATAATGATCCTTAGCCACTGGCCTGTTTCCCTTCAGCAAAAATCTAGAACAGGATACACAGCTCTTATTTTGTATTTCTTTTAGGTATACCATCACATGAGACATTTAGTTCCAATATACCTCAGCTGTCCCTCCAGGAGATAATTAGAGAAAGAGGGAAGAGTTTTGGAAGAGAAAAGAGGTAGCAGAAAAAGAGTAAGAGTTCTTACAATGAAGCCTTAAAAGAGAAAAAAAATATATGGAAAAGTATAGACATCAGAGCTACACTTAGATGGCTTATAGGGGCCCAAAGTAAGCTCTGTTCTCTGTAAGGGCAGTTTATACCTTGGGGAGTGCAAAGAGGCACAGGGGGGAGCATCAATCCTTGGTATCAAAGGCAGGAATGCTGGGAGTACTTGGATGGGAAGTATTTGGATGGGAAGCCAAACCAGTAGGGACAGGGGGTAGGCTCTGTGACTCAGCAACACAGTATTGGAAATCTGGGGACTACCCACACTGGCACATTTCTACCATAGCAATATAAACGTAACCATAATTAAAACTTAGCATATGAAAAAGGTCAGATACTCATTGAGCAGAAACTATGATATGTAAACAAATATAACATAAATATGAATAGCTTCTATATAAATAATATAGTTACTATTCTTTAATCCAGGCTTCCATGTGGGGCCTTGGCTCTCTGCTTTCTTTGTAGATTAAGTCAGTGTTTCATTCTCATATTCTTTATGTCCAAGCCAGGCGATTTCAGGACCCTAACTAGGAAAGCCCACCCTCAAATGGAATTGGGAGAGCATGGAAAGAGACAGAGGGAACAGAGAGGAATTTTTACGTTGGCTATCCACAGGGCAAGTGGAAAGTGGGCAGGAAAGGAAACATAAGGAAGGGATAAAGTTGTCAGGGCCTGTCTCATAGCCAGAACCCCTTTCCTTACTTACTATTTGAAGCTGATTTCCCCCACCCCTCTGACATATCATAGGCAAAAGAGTTCCTGTGATTAAATATCTCCCAGTTACTGAAACAAAAACTTCCTACAGAATGTCTCATTGACAGATTAACACACCAACCTCTACCCTGTTGTCATCCCTGGATAAGAAGAACACTAGAAAGTTATCTTGAAACAAAGACCATTAAATTATAATTTAAGATGCAATTGAAAAGGAGCATAAAAACTGCAATGAGGGGTGCCTGTGTGGCTCAGTCAGGCACCCAACTCTTGATTTTGGCATCATGTCATGATCTCAGGGTGAAATCGAGCCCCATCTGGGGTTCTGCGGTGTGGTGAGCATGGAGCCTGCTTGGATTCTCTCTATTCCTCTCCCTTGCACACCCCCCTGCCCTGGCTTTCACATGTGCTCACTCTCTCTCAAAACAAAACAAAACAAAAACAAACAAACAAACAAAAAACCTGCAACAAATTGCAAGTTTAGGATCAAAAATTGGTATAATTGTTTTTAAATTCTGTCTCTTTTTAAACATGTCAAGAACTTTACAAATGCTTATACCT